TCAAAGTCCCACCCACTGTAAGTGGAGAGCACGTTTGAGACCACCTGATGAATCTAAACAGGTACAAGTCTATGGGACCTGATGACATGAATGCCAGAGTCCTGAAGGAACTGGCTGATGCAGTTGACAAGCCTCTCTCCATCATATTTGAAGTCTTGGCAGTCAGGTGATGTCACTGGTGAGTAGAAAAAGGGAAACGTTACACCCCTACTCTTCAACAATTAAAACAATTAGAAGACATTTCTTCTCAGAAAGAGGGGTCAGGCATTGAAATGGGTTGCCCGGGGAAGTGGTGGTGTCACCGCCTCTGGGGGTGTTCATGGAAATCATAGAAGCATAGAATATCCCAGTTGGAAGGAACCCACAAGGATCAAGTCCAGCTCCTGGCTCCACACAGGTTTGCCCAAAAATTCAGACCATATGACTAAGTGCATAGTCCAAATGCTTCTTGAATTCTGACAGGCTTGGTGCCATGACTATGTCATGTTCCAGTGTGTGATGACCCTCTCAGTGAAGAACCTTTTCCTGATATCCAGCCTGAACCTCCCCTGTCACAGCTTGACACCATTTCTGTGGGTCCTATTACTGGTCACTACAGAGAATAGGTCAGCACCTGCCCCTCCACGCCCCCTTGTGAGGAAGCTGTAGACTGTCATGAGGTCTCCCCTCAGCCTCCTCTTTTCCTAGCTGAACAGTCCAAGTGACCTCAGCTGCGCCTCATGTGTCTTCCCCTCTAGTCCCTTCTCCATCTTAGTAGCCAAGGAAAGGTTGGACCTCGTGCGTAGGGACATGGTTTAATGGGTGACATTGGTAGTAGAGTGATGGTTGGATAAGACAATCTCAAAGGTCTTTTCCAACCTTAATGTTTCTATGATTCTATGATTATGTGTTAGTATCTACTTTTCTTTCTATTTTATAAGAATTAAAGATCACAATTTCTCTGCAGTCTTCTCTTAATACTCATGTAAATATTACCTGTGGAAATCCCACATGCAATCTTAATTTTTAAACCAGATTTCCAAAAGAAATCAGGCTTATTTAGTTATGCTATCTGATTGTAACTTCATCTGCCTAATACTTTTGAAACTTGATCTATTTAAAACATATAAAACTGGTAGCATATAAATAGCATATAAAATAGCAATAAAGAATATAAAATTAGTACTTCTGGGGGGGTAAAAAGCTGCAAAGTGAAATTTGGCCTGCCAGCTGCTCACTCAGCTCATTTGCTAATTTGTCAATGGTATGTAGCTCCAAATCATGTATAATAAATGCTGTGCCTTGCCAATCTAGTATTTTGAAAATATAGGTGGAAATTGTATGCACACTTGAGTAAAGGGGTAGTGAATGAGGAAAATGCAAGGTTGTAGAGTAAACAGCTGCTGATGAAGACCTTGTATGGTGCTTGGTTGTACCTTACAACCAAAGTTGTCCTGGTGGGAGCTGGATTGTGTTTTTCACTTTAAGAAACAGGTCCTGTTCTTTTCCACTTCTTTTCCACTTTTTCCATACTCAGGGATTTTTTGTGGTTGGTTGGTTAGTTGCTTGGTTGGTTGGTTGGTTGGTTTTTTATGCAGAAATGCAGCATGCTTTGCCTTATGTCCTTCTCAATTCCTGCCTGCCTAGGAACTGCCTAGCTTTCATACTAATATAGGTATGTATCTCACTGGAGTGATGGCTGTTAGCATATTTTATATGGTATAACATACTTGGTAATATGAAGAACTTGATGTTCCTAAAAGTAAGTGGCCAGATTAATAAGGATGTGTCAGGAAGCAGCAGGCAGTGCAAGAGAACTGAAGTCAAGGCAGAAAGGTGAAGTCAAGGCAGAAAGGACCAGCAAGACCAGGCATGTCACCAACCAGCTTCCAGACTACACCCAGGCTCAGGGGTGGCTCTTCATCTGAAACATGAAGGACCTGGCCCAGGCTTCTGACATAGCTGAATCCTACAGTCTGATTGCAACTAGTGACAGGGCTGCACCACTAGAGGGATGGCCCCAAAGAAGTGAAGATCATCACCTTGGTGTAGGCTATGGACAGAGATCTCATAGCTGGAGATAATGTTTAAATCAGCATACAGACAGGTGTCTTCTCCCTGTCTTTTCTTCACGTGATAGCAATTTAAATTTTATTAGATACACAGAATATAGGCTGAGAAGAGGGACACCAGGGCAGTGTCTAGTCATTATTAACTGAACAACAGTATCTATTTATTCTAGTTTACATAAATGCCTAGAAACTTTTATGATATATAACTTCTGTTGCCTTATTGGAAGATGACATTTGTCTTAAGACTAACAGGTATAGCAAGTCAAAAATATTAGTTCTTTTGGCCTACATTTTCAAGGGCAATAGTTTCCATTGTCAATGGTGATATCTGACATACCTTATTTCCTGTAAACATAGGATGTTAGTGAAGGATGGTGAAAAATGGGTCCTGAAAGGACAATAATAGCCCTATAATTTATTGATAACCTTGAATCAGTGAGATAGCTGAATATTTGAAAATAGATTTCTTTTTACCATCTTTCTCCTATTTTATTTCCATATTAATATTCTGAGATTGTGGAGAATTTCAAAGTACAAATAAACAATGTTGCCAAGGAATCTTCTGCAGCTATTAGGAATTAAAATATCAATTGTAATAACACAGATTATCAGACACAATCTTGTTTTTTTAATCAGTGAAATGCTGCCTTAGGAAATATTGATTAAGTTTGAATCTGTTTCACAAAGTTTGTTGCCTGACAAACAAAAGAACATAAAATATCAACTCATCATTATTATTTTAAGACAGAAGTAACATTCACTTCTGTGCTTTGACTTGAGTATCATCACTTATGATATTACTTGCAATTGTATGCAGTCTTTCACCTGAGTTATGTTAAAGGAAACTTCACACTTCACAAACACCTCATACATTTGCACACTGTTTGCATGCACTTAGACTGAAATGATCATGAGGAAAGTTACAGCAGCAATATCAGTAATTCAGTACTATTTTTAAAGTATATACGGGGTTAATAACACTCTTGAACTCAAACACATAAACTCATTCCATATAAAAACATTTTTGTAGTTACATATTCTGGGTAATTTGCTATGAGTATAAACGTACCTGTGAGCAGTCACAAAGCAATAAAAAAGACTTGCTTTGATAATCTTTCTAATAGACTGCAGTAGACAATTTGAAGTAGCCTGAGATTGTCATAGTGTTTTAAAATCTCTGGTACTCTTTTTCATTGTGAAAAGCTTGTGGATCAAAGAAAACTCAGTGCCCCAGACTGAAGATCATGAAAACATGCACTTCACTTTCTTTCTCCCTCTCTCTCTCTTCCCCCCACCCCCCACTCCCTTTCTACAGATTTAGAAATTGTAAAAAGATCTTATTATTGCTGGAAACTCAAAGCAAGTGCATCTCCTTGAAGAAGGCAATTTAATGCTATACAAAATTATAGATGAACAAAAAGAGGGGAAAGGTATTTGGAGTAAATATATATCTTCTGTTCAAATGGTTGGAAGGGTTTTTTGTGGAAAAAAATCAGGACAGTGTCAGAACACTTTGAAAGGGAAAGAGAAGAGAAAAAAGAATATGACTAAATACATCCTGAAAAATCCTTCTGTTATTCACAGAAGCAATTGGTGTGTGTGTGCATTGTGAACGGGCAAAAACACGAAAGAAATAACCTTGATCACGATTCAATCCAGACTCCTCTGTCTTCTAATTCAGCTGCTACATCAGCAGATGCATTAAACCTGCTGTTTTTTGCTTTTCTGACAAAATATCGTTGTCAGCCTGCCCTACTCCCTAGATTAAATCAATAATAATAATAATAATAATAATAATAATAATAATAATAATAATAATAATAATAATAATAATAATAATAATAATAATAATAATAATAAGCTTTTAATGAAACCTATCATCTTCTTCAATGGGCTACTCATATATTACTTAAGTATATAACAGAGACATTTTCAACATTAATGTATTCACTCTTCAATCTTCCTGGATTTAATTAGTTATCCTGGAGATCGGGTATGACTCTTTGATTAAAAACCATTTCCTGAAATGGGGGAGGGAGGGAAAAATCCTCTGGGCAACCCTGTTTCTGTACTCATAATTTCTTCTTATGTTAATCAGGTCTTTGCAGTACGTGTTGACTACATAAAAGATAAAAGATACCAAAAGATGCCAGACAGAATGCAGCATAAATAAATAAATAAAATAAATAGTTTAATTAGCATCTATTTTTGCAAGCCTGTACGATATCCCTATTTAGACACTACCATTGTTTAAAATCTATTACATCTCAGTAGAATCTGTACTAGCTGTCAGCTAAAGTGATTTATCCTTTACTTAAATTTTAAAATTGTTTTTCTAGATATGAGAAATTATTTGTGAGCACTATTTTTGTTTGAAGTCCAATTCCCATACATTAATTAAGCTTGTAAACAAGGATAGAGTCCTTATTATACAGTACAAAAAGAAGACTTTTCAGCAGCCAATTATCATGTTACCTTTTTTGAAATAGAACTCTTTAAAGGAAATACATCACTGAAATTATTCTGTGTGCTTATTAATAGCCATGGTTATCAAATGAACAAAAATGTGTTAATCAAAAGGCATTCTAGAATATTTGAAATTAATAGGAGTCTTCCATATACTAAAATAAGTGTTTCACCCTTGATACCAAATTCATGCTCATGAAAGTGCCTGTTTTCCAGTATATCAAAGAAATGTACTCATTTAATCACTTAAAGAAACTAGAAAAGTGTGAACAGCTATCTAAGTCCTATCAGCATCAAAGAATGACTGAACCCTGACTAAGCTCACAAAGAGTTGTAAACCAAAATGTGGCTTGCATCAGATATCCAAATGTATGGAATTTTATGAGGCCATGAGCAAAGGGGCAGTGATAACTGAATCTCACCTTTTTAAAAAAGGAAGATCTAGACTCTGGTAAATAAGTCTTCAGCTGACTGTATACTCACATGTGCGTACAAAGAGTTCCTCCATCTCTGCAGGATTCAGCTCCTTAGTGCAGTGAAGTCAGACATGCAACACATGGTATTTCTCTCCAGGCAGGAATTTAGCTCTTCTGTTTATTACCAGCCAGTGTGGATATTTAATTAGCTATTTTTCTGAAATCATTTGGACACTGGAATATCACAACAAAAGACAGAGCATGGAAATTGGAACACAGCTAACCTCCAACAAGTTTGAAAGAAGAGAACTAAAAAAAAAAAAAAAAAAAAGTGCTGTATTCATCAGTACAGAAAACTCAGAATATGGGGAATTTTCTGCTCTGAATTCTAATTAGATGGGATACAAAGAGCAGACAGTACATTTCCCTCACTGCATAGCAACAAAATCTTTCTGTTCCTTACCAAATATATATCAGATAGTACGATTCAGAACAAATTTCATCCGCCCTGTCCCAACTGCTGGTTATAAATAATACTATATTATTTATAAGCAACAAATTATTGGCATTATAACTAAATTTTATAGTCTTTAAATAAACTATTATATATTTTATAGTGCTTAGCATGGAATGTGTCAAAAAACTATGTGAAAAGAAATGTAATTCATATACCTTGCTGCTCTTCCTGGTGACCAGAAATGATATACATTCTTTCAAAGTTTAGGGAGTCCGTCATATTAACTCAAGATAAAATTAATTAGTTTGCTTCAGTCTAAATCTCATAATCCCAGATGTATCTTGAAAGATCTCATTTGAAAAAGGAATATAGCAACTTCCGTTCGCTCTCCATTGTCCTTCATCCTGAATAACTCACTTCACAAACAGAAAAGAAGCTCTAACCTTTTCATGTTAAGGACCTTGCACACCATTATAGGATGTGTTCACACTCAGCACAAAATCAATCTGCCTTTGTGAACTGTTTAAATACATTTTTAATCACTGATTAAACAATTTCTCTTGTAAATTTGAATTGATGTTAATAGATATGTGGTGACATCAAACATGTAAATAACAACAGTGAGTCAAATTTTCTACTGACTTGTACTGTTTGTGGATGTTCTGCAAAGTCAGTATAGAACACTATCAAGTCTCAAGTCATATTAATTGCTGTGCTTACATCAGAAATAGTAGTTGTTTATACCTGAACAAAAGAAAGAAATAAGATTTTAACTGTGTTGTAAAACAAGTATGGTAACTGATGGCATTTCTGTGCTTCCTCAGCATGAATGTAAATCGCTACAGAAAATGTTGCACAAAGAGACTAACTGGAGTTCAGTCATGACTCCCCAGTACACTAACGTAATTCAGGCAACACAAAAGAGTGCACTGGTAGACCATCTGCATCCTTCTGAGAAACCTTTTTTTTATCATCAAAGACCTATTTGTATCTTAGACAAATAAATACAGAGGTCTAAATATTTAACAGCATCTATTATTTACTTTAGAAAAAAGTTCACAGCACCTTTCACATCTTCAGTTGTTCAGATTTCGCCACATTTGGTGGTATCCTCTAATTCAGGATTTATTGTTAATTCAACACCGCCACAATAGCCAGACTTGTAAAACAGTATTGCAAGTGTTTCTTATAACTTTCTTGGGTTGCACAGATGCTTCAGTGACTACCTTGAAGCAAAATGTTTCTCTGAGGTTGTAGTAGAGTTTTCTGTGGCTTTATGAAATTATATATTTTATATAGGAAAATAAAATGTTGTTTCAAGCCTAAAAAACTGTATTTCTTACTTCATCATATTGTGAGGAGTGGGCAGAACCTGATGATCATGTATCAAAACTTCACATAACAGGCTAAGGGTTTGGGACAGGTAAGGTTTAACTGTTGTTTGTCAATAACTGGAACAGTGATATTGTTCTCAGACACTGAAACACTAAACAAGATTGTAATAAAACACAGATCTTTTCATTCTCTGAGCAGCATTATTCTCTTTAGACAACAGTAATTCCCCTTTTATATCAGATCAGATAGAATTGTCTAAAGCATTCAGTAATAAATACTGCAAACTAGAAAAACAGCGAGTTTTTTAAAATGAATGCTATCAAATTGAACATCTCATTCTGCTCATGAGACATCTATACTTCTCCTTCCCTATGTATTAATTGTTCTTTTCCTTTTCTCTCTGAATTGTTTATAAATTATTTTGTTCATATGTTCTAATACTGATGTTTATATTAAGTACCATTATCTATAAATGTTAGTCATGTACATTTGTTATTCAACCAGTGGCACAGTTTATGCAACCAGTTCAGCACAGATTGATAATGTCTGGTCAGATCAGTCATCAGACAGTTCATTTGTTCCCCAAAGGAACATTTTCCTATTTTTAAGAGCATATTTCTAAACTTAAATATGCACTCTGGGTGCAATGATATGCACAGAAATATGTGTTTAAAGATTTTTTTTGGTTTTTTTTTTTGGTTTGGTTTGTTTGTTTTTTTCTTAAAGGAAACTTTTTAATTTGCTTTTTGCAAGGAGGGTAGAAACAAAGTCTTCCAAATGGTGTGCAAGTGGAGCAAATTGGATCCACTGGCTAATATCCTTTAGCAGCTGCATTCAATATAAACAAGCAAACAAACACTCTCATTCCAGATTCTGAAGTAAGCCCCATATGGAAAGATGCTGACGCCTACACAAATCTCCAAAGATGATCTGCTGCTGTGGTGACTACATCAGCAGCAGCATTGTCACCATAATCCATAACTTCATGATGTTTGCTTAACTGTCATATAAAATCACATTTCCTTAAATATTTCACTGGAAGGTTTATTTGCCTATTATAATCTTCAGAAACAAAATATGCTGATTTAGTATTCTGTATGAAACATACTGAAAACAAACAGAAAATCCAAGCATTTTCAGGAGCAGAGCTGCCAAATTTTGCACATATTGACTTTCAAGGGCCATATTCCATTTCATTTGCAATTATTTAAACACCTACTGAGAAGAGCTTGTTACAACATGAAATATGTTGAAGTAGTTTCTAATTCATATGGCTAGAATAAGTGGTGAGTTTTTATACCAGTAATCTTGTCTTGGTTACATTTTTTTTCCAAAAATGTTATTTTCTTCAAACTTGAAAACTTCTTTTTTCCCTATTTGGAAAACTAAATAAAATGGAATTACCAATGTCCACAACTGATTGAGTTAAAACTTTTTTTAAAAAAAATATATTTTTATTTTTTAGTCTTTTCTTTCTTTATTACCTTGTAGTGTTTTAAGTGTTACAGAAGGAAATATTTTAAAAGAAATCAGAAAATGAGCAAACTTCAAATCCAAAATGCTTAAACTGTTCAAAGCAATCAAACAAAGAGTACAGAGTTTAAATGTGGTTTTTTGTTTGTTTGTTTTGACATCATATATTCTAAAAAGGGAAAGTTTAATTTTTCATTTTTCTGATCCTTTATTTCACCAAAAAAAAAAAAAAAAGTCAAAGGTACCTCATTGTTGTTATCTTTATGTGCATTTAAAGATTAGTTCTGCTTTATTAATTGAAAAAGTTTGATGGGCAAGTATACAGAGTTTTCTGTGCAGTGTTTCTTTTTCAAGAAACAAAGCTATCCAAGTCCTTTTTTTTCAGACCTCCCTTTCATACCTGCCTGAGATTTTAAAATCATATTAAGTGTGAAGGGAGTAGAAGATCTTATGCAGACAAGGAGGATGATACCTATTAATGATCTTAATGGTTCTATATTGGAACAGGTTTACCACAGAGGTGCTGGAGGCACTTAGGGACATGGTTTAGTCCCTAGCGTTATATTGGTGAGAGGGGGACAGTTGCACCAGATGGTATTGAAAGGTCTTTTCCATCCTTAATGATTCCAGGACTCTATGATTCTAAGGTTGTGGGAGGTGTTTTTGTTTGTTTGTTTGTTTGTTTTGTTTGTTTGTTTCTCTCATTTTCCCTTTCTTCCCAAAGCAACATTTATTATTATAACAATTCAGGAATTTCCAGTCTCCTGTCTTGAAAGGAATAGTGATGGTTATACAGTGATGATGATTAAACAGTGTGATCCAAAGAGATTTTTACAGTTGTTCACAATTGACTTTTTGACCCATTAATGACTACGCCTTACCAAAAAGAATCACGTTATTGACTCTAAAGAAAAACTCATGAATCACTATTATCTCTATTTATGTAGACACAGAAATAAACCTCTAAAGAAATAACAGCTATGTCTAAGAATGGATACAAATTTAAATACAAACTAGCAGTTCTTTACATTACATTATTTAGCATATTAACAAATTTAATTTCCTTTTATGATAAGATCACCCATCTAGACAATCAAGTGAAGCCAACTGATATAATCTTTTCAGATTTCAGTAAAGTTTTCAGTACAGTTTCTCACAGGATCTTACTGGACAAAATGTCCAGCATACAGCTAGATAAAAACATAATGCAATGGGTGAGCAACTTGGTGATGAGTCTTGCTCAAAGGGTTATGGTAAATGAGGTTACATCAGGCTGGTGGCCAGTCACCAGTGGGGTCCCCCAAGTCTCCATTTTAGGCCCAGTTCTTTTCAATGTTTTCATAAACTATTTGGATGTAGGACAAGAAGGATTTTTGAGCAAATTTGCTGATGACACTAAACTGGGAGGAGTTGTTAGCTCTATCAAGGGTGGAAACACCTTGCAGAGAGATCTGGACAGGTCGAAGAGCTGGGCAATCACCAACTGCATGAAGTTTAACAAGAGCAAGTGCCGGGTCCAACACTTGGGAAGGGGCAACCCTGGCTATACATACAGACTGGGGGACGAGATGCTGGAGAGCAACCCCACAGGGAGGGATCTGTTTTTTATCTGTTGTGGTTTTTTTTGTTCATAGCAAACTGAATATGAGCCAGCAGTGTGCCCTGGCAGCCAGGAGGGTCAAATGTATCCTGGGGTGCATCAAGCATGGCATTACTAGTTGGTCAAGGGAAGTGATGGTCCCGCTCTACTCTTCATTGGTGCAGCCTCACCTCAAGTACTGTGTGCATCACAGTACAAAAGGGACATGAAACTGTTGGAGAGTGTCCAGAGAAGGGCTACAAAGGTGGTGAAAGGCCTAGAGGGGAAGACATATGAGGAGTGGCTGAGGTCACTCGGTTGATTTAGCTTGGAAAATAGGAGGCTGAGGAGAGACCTCATTGTGGTCTACAGCTTCCTCATGAGGGGGAGTGGAGGGGCAGGCACCCATCTCTTCTCTCTGGTGATCAGCGATAGGACCTGCAA